ATACAGTTCAGAACTTTTTTTACATTAAATGTTTACAATAGCCTTTAGCCTTGAGAATTGAGAAAGATAAAAATATTCTTTTTAAAAGTAACTATAGTATAATAAAATTTCTACAATAACTCTATTGGTTTTCTTATTCCTGTGATACTGATTTTCGCCATTCTTTCTTTCTTTTCATTCTGCAGGGGGGGCGCGCCCCCCCCCTAGTTGCGCCTCTGCTCTCCGTCATAGTACATCTTGTGTAAAGAAGTATTCTCTTTAGAAGGCTAAAACTTTTCTCTCCTTGTATTAACAGTGAATTTAGACAAATCCTTAGTCTTTGTCATTGTCAGGTGTTACTTTCTAAACGTAGTTTCCTTTTAATTTTGTATTTTTGGAACTCCCAGGGGGGGCAAGAGAACTACTGCCCCCCCTAGGTACACCACTGTGCCTGACCTGAGGAAGGGAAATGCAAGCAGATGTAATATTAAAAGAGCCTCCCCCATGGATGCCCCCCCTCAGCCTCTCAGGGGGGGCACGCGTAGAGGGGGGCGGGGGGGCGCGGCCCCCCCTCGTACGCCCCTGTCCCCATACAATGAGAACCAGAAAACTGTAGAATAGGAAGACGACAGTAAAAGCAATATTTAAGTGTATTTGCTTTTGTTATAAAGCAAATACTTTCACCAGTTGTTTAAATCACGAATTAAGTCTATTTACACTGAAATATTTCTAACTCTTATGTTCATTTGACTTTCAATGTCATAACTTGCATCTAAAAGTCGTCTTCATATTTCGAAGTTGTTTGGTTCTCCATGTATAAGATGGAGATCAAAGCTTGATCCCAAGATTCACAAGAAAAAAGTTAAAGGGAGTGTTCGCGAAAAATGAAAGGGGGTATAGGCTAAATGCGATAAAAAAGCGCTTTTGATCGCCACTAATCTTACTTCTATCTGTTGCGTCTATAAGGAGAAAATTGTTAAAGACGTCTCATACCGAATAACATGGCGTCCATACAAATTGAGAAAATTTCAACATACGACTTAGACCGTAAAAAAATCAATTTAATTTCAAACAAATCATTCAGATATTACAACCTATAGTCATCGATTATCTTTCGCCACATTTATATATAGTTGATTTTTCATAATATGTTTTTAATTGTTATGATCTGAGAGTTACTTATAAAAACGTTTATTCCTGTTTCGAGGATTTTTGGTAATGAAGACGACATTTTCATATTTTCCAGGAATGTTCGAAAACAAGTTGTAAGCTAAATATTATTTAAAAAAACAAAATCAAAACTAGTATAAAATATTAAATATATACAAATGTGGCGAAAGATAATCGATGACTATAGGTTGTACTATCTGAATGATTTGTTTGATATTAATTTGATTTTGTTACGGTCTAAGTCGTATGTTCCAACTTCCTCAATTTGTATGGGCGCTACGCTCTTCGGTATGAGACGTCTTTATCAATTTTCTCCTTATAGACGCAACAGATAGAAGTAAGATTAGTAGCGATCAAAAGCGCTTTTTTATTACATTAAGCCTATACCCCCTTTCATTTTTCACGAACACTCCCTTTAACTTCAGAAGTTTTAGTAAAATTATGTCATTTCTTTAAAAACAAGTCAACTATTCCCCATCAACACCTGGGCAACAGAGAAAGAAAAAGCAGATCAAATTAAATTCCTTGAATTTTTGTTTATCGCAAAGCAACAACATAATTTAGTCACTTCGCACGATAATAATAATAATTTGTTTTTGTAATTTAGCCAGTCGTTCATTATTTGTAAATGAGTAAATACAAAAATATATTTTTTCAGTTGTAAACCACTAAATAAATTTTTTAGTTCCTAAGAACTACCGACGCCCCAAGTTTGTTGAGGATTTGAAGGCAGTTCTAACAAAGGAAGGATTAGTCTCCTTCGAGTGTAAAGTTGTCGGGTTCCCAACTCCTGTTCTAAGGTAACAACTCAACTTCAGCAAGATAATTTCCCGCATTTTCGAGTTTTGTCGTCTTCAGTATTCAATCTAAATAGGTGACTTAACCACCCTACAACGGGAAATATTAGGTGTGATAAATTCCATCAAAATTGAATACAAGTATTTTGATCTTAAACAAACTAGAAAAAATAAAAATCCGGGCAAAACTTCTTTGCACTTTATGATACCCATTACAATGACATAAATTCACATTCTGATTGCATTATTACTAATATGCAAGTTTAAAAGATGAAAATTAAAAATCTTTTCTTTACTTTAAGGTATTTATGTTCAGTTTTTTATTTTAATTTGCCTGGGCATCATAAAAGTTTATTGCCACTTTTTAACCTTCAAACTATCATAATCAGCCTAACTAAAAACATTCGTTTTGGAATTCATTCTTTTAAAAGTGAAATTTTTTTTTTTTTAATTTCATGACAATCACAGAATTTTGTTTAAAAAAGTGTTTCAAAGAATGGGAATCCCGCCCCAAAGATTATTTGGTAGATTTCCTAGAATTTGACGCAGATAAATATACGCAACTAGAGCTGGCTGATTACCTGGCAAAAACATAACCTTCAATTAATCGGAAAGTTAAAATTCATTCGAAGCTAGTTCAAACAGATAAATTTCAATTTGATTCATAAAATCATATAGAGGGACCCCTCTCGTTCGTTAAACGAGGAACAATTACTATAATATTGTAATCAAGCAGAGTTTTTTTCCAACTAACGTATACTATGGTACAAGTTACGTTAATGAACATAATTACGTTTTTTTACGTAGTTATTAACAAGCGTATTTAGGTTTAAGGATAATGTACAACGTAATATATCTAGGTGTGTTCACGTTTACAAATATGGGGTTTGATACGATATTTATTACATATATATTATGGTTTAAAGACAGATATATATATATATATATATCTATGATCCAGATGGTTTAAAGATGGATCTGAACTAAAGCCTGGAGATGTGTATCAGCTCAGTGGAAGCAAATCCCTCGGTAAGTCTGATATCTTGTTCTCTCAATCTTGAATTTATGCCCTTATCTTGTTCTCTAGTAATATTGTTCTCTATGTCCTAATCTTGTTCTCTAGGTCCTAATCTTGTTCTATAGGTAACAATTATTGTTCTCTAGGTCCTAATTTTGATATTAGGTCTTAATCTTGTCCTCTAGGCCTAATCTTGTTCTTTAGGTACCAATTCTTGTTCGCTAGGTCCTAATATTGTTCTCTAGGTCCTAATTTTGTTCTCTATGTCCTAATCTTGTTCACAAGGTACCAATTCTTGTTCGCTAGGTCCTAATCTAGTTCTCTAGGTTCTAATCTTTTTCTCTAGGTCCTAATCTTGTTCTCTAGGTCCTAATCTTGTTCTCTAGGTACCAATTCTTGCTCTCTAGATCCTAATCTTGTTCTCATGGTCCTAATCTTGTTCTCTAGGTCCTAATCATGTTCTATAGGTATTAATCTTGTTCTCTACGTACCAATTCTTGTTCTCTAGGTCCTAATCTTTTTCTGTAGATCGTAATCTTTTTCTATATGTTCTAATCTTGTTATCTAGGTCCTAATCTTATGCTCTAGGTACCTATTCTTGTTTGGCAAGAAACTGTATGGGTGAGGGTGCTAGTACAGCCTCCTTGACTGTAGAGGATATCGGAGAGAAGTTTCCTGATACTAAATCCCAGCTGAGGTTCCTGGTTCCTCTTCAGGATACTAATATCAAGATCGGAGAAACTCAGAGGTTCTCCGTTCAAGGTTAGGCTTTTTGTCCAGAATGCATCTGTTGATGCCTTTGTTGACTTGACATAAGTAAAATTTATCTTATACTTTTTTTACAATTTTTAAACAGAAAAGACGATATAAGTAACTTTTTATGTATAAAGCAAGGACGTGATATATATCTTTAAAGGGAGTGACCGGCTATGTAAGGTAGTTAAACTGATTATACAGTGTTGTGGAAAGCTTCGGATTCATTTGAGACATATTAAACTTTTTAAAGATCTGTAAATCCTGAGTTTGAGCGCAAATTCGATGTTCAAAAATCCTACTTTGGGGTTGGATTTACATATCTTTAAAAAGTTTAATATGTCTCAAATGAATCCAAATGAAGTTCTCCACAACACTGCATACTCAGTTCAACTACCTTACATAGCCGGTCACTCCCTTTAAAAAGAGTTTTTTTGAGGCTAGATCAAAGTGAAATTTTTAAGGCTTGATCAACACTGAATTCTTAAATTTTAATACAATTAATTAGTTAAATTAACTGTTTATTGTTTATTTTTAGTGACCTACAGTCCCTGTCTTGAGATATGCTGGAAGCACAAGGAGGAGAAGGTTGTGAGTGGGAACAGAGTAAACCTGAGCAGGGAGGATGGAGGATACTTTCATTGTGACATCAAGAATGCATCAACACAGGACGAGGTGAGAAGAGCATATCTTTAAAAATTCCAAATTAAATTAATTACTTGACTAAATATAACTTTCTAACGCCTTGTCTTTACAACCTTGGATATTCCAATTGACCAAGTATCAAAGGTTTAAAATATCAATGGTTTACAACATAAAGTTGAGAAGATTAGTAAATATGCAGGGAGGGATTTTAATGAATTGGCGAAGTTGCTGAACTAACTACCACTGGTTCAAATCCTAATTCAAATCAAATTCAAATTTTCATTGAATCTTTAACTTCAGGATTTGAACCGGCGGAAGGTAATTCAGCAGCTTAGCTCAAATTCATTTAATTCGGTCTTATGTGTTTGATATTTTAATTTTGATTTAGCAAAATTCATAGTTTCTAATATCAAAGACCTAAAACATCTGGTTGCAAAGATTAAGGGATTGTAAATTTGAGTTTGAGAATTTTACTTCTATAAACCCAGTTTATAAGTTAGATAGATATATCCTTTTTTCAACAAATTTTTTTGTTGAAATCGAGTTTTCCAGTGAATTTTTATTTAAAAAATTACATTCCAGATTCACAACGGTATACTACTAGTATCTTGTATGTGATCCAATCAGGGTTCGGTTATGTGTTTGTTGTCTTTTCTGACCCAATAGAAATTGCATGGCGGTTACATCTTTCTTTTTATCTATCTCATTATCCAATTAGAGATAAATCCTTATATTGGCGCTATAACAGTTAATGGAAATATTTACATCTACTGAAAAAATATGGTATTTTGTTTTGTTTGAATTGAGATATATTATTTTTTTTCTTGTTTCTGCTGCATATACCTCCAATTTACTGTAAACTTATCCTTTTCAGTTTTCCTCATACGAAGGATTAAAAGGGTCCGTTGTGAAGATATTTAACTATAGAAATTACGTCACAGTAAATATAAATTTCCCAAATAATGTCGTATATTTTTTATTTAAAGGGACTGTACTGCACTGTACGTGTGATTTAAAGTTACCCTCCATGCAAATATGGCAATGCCCGATACACAACGATTCCCTTGAAACCTTTATCTGATCAATAATTTTGGAAGATATTGTCGTTTTACTAAATCTAAAAGTATCTAATTCTGTTAATTCCTATATGTTTTCCTGCAGTAGAAATGCGCAAGTCATCATTGCAGAGAAATCACAATTGAAAATAATTTTAAAACATTGAAGTCTAATTCCTACTTGATAAGACAAAGCTTTCAAGGGTATCGTTGTGAATCGGGCATTGCCATCTTTGTATAGAGGGTCACTTGAAATTATGCTTACAGTCCCTTTAAAATTGTTGAATTAATTGTATTTCTTGATCCTGTAGGGTGAGTGGAGTGTGGTAGCTAAGGATTCTAGTAATGAAATCAAGTCTAGTTGTATACTATCAGTAAATATCCCTAAGCACTACAAGAAACCAAGATTCCTAGAACCCCTGAAAGCTGTTCTAACTGATGAGGGAGCAGTTAATCTTGAATGCAAGGTCAGTGTCAATATCTATTATATAATTTGCGAACAAATTCCTAGAGTTTTCCTTCTCATTCCAGCATTTTAAATGAAATGCATCACAAGCTTTCTAAAGCTGTAGTTTATATATTTTCAGTAAGTTATTCTATACTTTCATCTACTTAATTTTACATCTAAATTTATATTTATCTAGTAGTCTATTTGACTTTATATTTAATTTTCTATTTTTCAATATATTGATTTCTTCCTCTTTTAATAAGTCAATTCTTTCCTCTACATCTTGCAAAATAGATGCGTCCGATTTCTTCTATTTAAATTCAGTCGTGTTTTGGGCTATAATTCGACTATTATTAAGGGAAATGTCGTAGACATTTGAGCTGAGAGTACAGTATCGTCGAACATTTTTTAGAAATTATTTAAGACCTATAAGACGTTTGTACGATTTATAATTGCTAAGTATGAGCACAAAACAGATCTGTAAAATTCTCATGGCACTCTCCCCCAGGTAGGTTGTGCTGCAGCAAGCAGGTGTGTCGCTCAACAAGCTGCTTTTTATTTGAAAGGATACATGATCAAACTGTTGAATCCTCTTAGAGTAATCTATTACGTTGATTTCATTATTTTACCTTCATCTGTTTAGGTTATAGGAGTACCTCAACCAGTTCTATCTTGGTATAAGGATGGAGTTGAACTCAAGGCTGGAGATATCCATCGTCTGATGTCTGGAGCTGATGGTACATGTTGCCTGGGTACATATACTTGTGTGGCCACCAACTGCATGGGAAATGTTACAAGCTCCGCAGCACTTCTAGGAAATATATTCTTTTGATAAAAATCAACTAACTTTTTTCCACGCACATATTTTTATTTTTCTAGGTCATCCTTGAATCCTTGATCAAATTTGATGTTGCCATTTTGATGTTTATTTTTTACCCCAAGCAGAAAAGGCAAATACATTTGTAGATGTTTCAAATTATAACTTCATTACTGTCTCCATTTTAATGAAAATGAATATATATATCTAAAGGTTATGAGGAGCCCAATGAGATTGAACACGCTATATCACAGGATCTGCAGACACCAGATATCAGTGATGGAAACCTTAAACCCTTCTCCTTGTCCACTATTCAGGAGGAGAGAACTTCTCAGATGTTTAGTCCAGAAGCTCAGGAGAACACTAACCAGCATTCAGAGACTTTACAGAACAGTACTGAGGACCATGAACCTATCAGTATATCTATAGGGAAGGCCGATGCAGCTGGAGATTTGAGTATATCTATTGGAAACCAGGAGCTTACTCTGTCCTTATACCAGACACCAGACCTAACTGAACGGGATGCAAGACATGTTTGTGAAATGTTTGCAGAAGAATTAGCTGAATCTGTTACCGAGAGCAAATATGTGGAGCTTCCACCACTCAGGTTTATGAGAGAGACGGCAAAGTCATCAAACATTAACATGGAGGCAATTATCATTGATATAGATCAGCAGGGGTTTGAAGAGTATGAATCCCTCCGTCTAGCACTGGAGAATGTTGATGATCTGAAGACTGAAGCTGATATTGATGAAGTCTCTATGGCAGAATGGATTGAAGAACCTGTAAATGTTAGAGAATATGAAGCTCTTGCCTGTGAGGAAATTTTTGAGTTAGATGATGATAGAAATGAAATTGTCCAGATAATGACTGAAAGTGAGAAATTACAGATGCTCTCTGAAAGTAATATTAAAAAAGAGGAAGTATACAGCCCCGATGCAACATCAGCAAGTCTAGGAAAAGATGAAAACTCAGTGTCTAAAGATTTAATCTCTGACAGCCTGACAAAAAAGCAGAAAGAAGTAAAGGAAAAAGCAGCGGAAGCAAAGCAAAAGTCTGCACAAAAACCTGCTTCACATGGCACAAGTAATACAGAAAACTCACAAAAGGAACAAGATAACAAAAGTTTAATTAGTGCCCCAGGAAATGAATTACAGAAAGATTCAATAAAAACAGATTTAATTCAGACACGTACCAAAGAGAAAAATAATGAAATAAAGGACATGAATTCAGAGTTAAAAATAACAGAAGCAAACATCTCTGAAACTCTAGCAATAATTGAAGAAAGTAAGCTTGAGAAAAATGACCTGTCTTTAAAGCACAATATTCATGAAAATGTTGAAACATTAACAACTCATGATCCTAAACCTATATCTTCTACTTCTGAGAGAGGAGAAGTTAAGGGACAGGCTGAGATATTAAATGACACTGTTATTATTGATCGGCATAATTCCAGTAAAAGAGATCGCAGTGAATGTTTAATTTCTAAAAATAAAGAAGAAGAACCCTCTGTAAAAACGTCTAACAATGAATCCATAATTCTAACAGCTAATGAGACTAAACCAGAGGAGAAAATTACAATCTCAAATGAAATAGAAAAATCAATCAATCAATTGACCTCCCCAGATGAAAAGAAACAGATTGAAACCGAAGAATTAATATCAGAAGCATCTATCAAAACCTTAAATAAACAAGAACCTGCTGAAGTTTCAGCACAAGGAGGATCAATAGTAAAAACTGCAGAAGATTCATTGGCATCAAGTAATCAAGAAATAAAAAATGAGGATTCTACAGAAAATAAAACAAAAGAACCAAAAAGAAAATCAAATGAAAATGAAAATGTGAGTAGAACTGATGATCAAAAGACTAATGACATTGAAACAGTAACTCCTGAAGTAGATGGGTCAGATGAGAAAATTGCTTCTAAGGTGGAGGAAAATAAGCTTTCAGAGGAAATATTAGCAGGGCAAGATGATAAACTTGAAGATATAACCACTGAACAGACTAAACAGCAAGAGTCTTCAATAGTTAAAGAAAAGTCGGTGGTAAATGTTAAAGGTATAATCACAGGAGAAGAAGGAACTGAAACAACAATAGATGGTACACCAGACGTCAAAGACCCCAAAGTATCAGAAGAAGAAAAGATTGAAACAAAATCACCAAAAGATAAAGATAGACAATCTACAAAAGAAACAGAAACTGAAGAAGTCACAAAAACAACAGAGAATGAAAGTACATCATCCTCTTCTCATGTGATTTCAGATCTAGGTGATAAGATTCTTAATAAAGAAGTTGTTGTTGGGGACCAAAATAACCCAAACCAACCAAATGAAGGATTTGAGGGTGCATTGACAAAGAAGCAAAAAGAGATAAAAGAAAAAGCATTAGCTTCTAAAAATAAATGTGCTTTAGCTTCTCCCCAACTATCGTCTAAAACTGATTCAAAATCTAAGGATGCTGTAAGTAGTATAGAAAATGATTTGGAAGAGCAAATCTTACCAACAGACCCATTAATGGAGGAAATATCTAAAGATAATCCTGAGGTTGTCAAGATTCCTGCAAAAAGAACAGCTTTAGAAATATTAGCTTTAGACATACTTGAAATTCACAAACCAATATTTGAAATGACGCAAATACCAGAACTTACTGGAGAAGTAGTAGAGCAGTCCAAACCTGTAACAAGACAAACAAGTGTGGTAGACAGCGAGTCTCTGCCTGATATTGAAACTTTTAATAAGGAGGATCCCATTAAAGCAGAAAACAAATATGCTCTTGATGATGATGATGAAGATTTTGAGTTTGATGAAGAAGCTTATCGCAGACAAAGACGAGCCAGTAGCTATGAAGATGCTATTGCTAACATGGATCCAGACATTTTGAAAGAGTTAGGGATCTCAACCGGAGATACAATGTACAAATCATCAAATGAACAGTTTGATCTTGATCAGCTTCCAGTAGAAACTACGATGGAAAGAATGAGTAGAATAGAAGAAAAAGCATTACAAATTGCACTGGAAGAAGACATAGTGCCAAGGAAATCTAGATCAAGATCAAGATCAAGGTCAAAGTCTAGACCTCCAGGACTTGATACTGTCATTGAAAAAAGCAAGGAGGAAAAGGCAGAAGCTAAGTATTATGAGGAAAAGGGACTCATGGCTTTACCATCTTTAGATACAATAAAAGAAAGCCCCTCCACTGCATCTGTAGTTGGACTTCTTTACGGTGGCTTCTCATCAGCTTCAATAAACACTGTGTTACAGGGAAGCCAATCTTCTGCATCAGTTCATAAAGATCTTGAAGATATGGCAACTCTTTCTCCTAGAGTTAAACAGAAGTTTGAGCATGATAAGATCAAAGAGGTAGATGAACCAGCAATAGAAAACTTAGAATCAACGGTTTCATCATTAAATACTGAAAAGGATAACTTATATGCCAGTCAAAGAGAGCCCAAAGAACCTACTGTTTCATGTTCAAATGTTGATAATATCACTTCTCATCAAAATGAGCCAGAACTTACTGTTACGGATGAGACTGAGGTTCTAGGTAGAAATGAACAATGTGAACAAATTGCACCCAATAGCACTTTAGAAAAGGATTTGATGGATAAGAGTAGAATTGATTCTGGAATTGAGGTGAGTACACAAGATGAAGATTCAGTTAAACCTGTGACTAAGTCAAGGAAAAAGAAAGCACAAAGAACACAAACTAAACAAATTCTTCCTGGAAATGATGATGATGAAAAATTATTAGATATTGACTCTATGACTGATGAACCCCAGGAATATACTTCAAATCTCAAGACACCAATTGAAAACACAACCGCTTCTGAGACTCCATCTGAACATCAACAAGAGGAATCTGATATTCCACAAGTGGTAATAAGCAGTGAGCTCATTAAAGAAATGAAGCTTGACCTTACATCAGATATCAATGAAAATGTGAAAGAAACTGTTGACAAAACTCTTGAGCCCTTACAGAACCAAGTTGAGCCACATGAAAAAGATAAAAAGAAAACCAATGCAACTGAAGACATTGCAGTGGTTCCTGAGCTTCATAAAAAGGAGAGTCTCAAGAAAGAAATTGATCTGGATGATACACCAAATGAAAAAGAAACTCATTGGGTAAAAGAGCCTGCTCAAACAAACCTTGACGCTGTGAAAGATAATATTGACCTATTTGATAAGGCAGATAAAAAGGAAATTGTAGATAATAACATGGTTTTTGATGTTTGTTCAAACAACAAACTTGGAGATAAAAATGTGCTCAGTCTTGTTTCAGATACCAATCAAATTTTAAAAGACACTGCTACTAAGCTTGCAACGGATCAAGTTGATCAACCTGTTAACGCAAAAAAGAATAATCAAGAAATCAAAAATAAGAAGAATGAAGATGAGATTGATAATGTTCAACAGGAGCAACCTGAATCAGAAGAGGTCACCGATGATTTGAATACAAACAAGAAAAAAGAGCAGAGCTCTGATGTAGGTTTTACACTAGATACTGGAAAACCAAAAGAGAAAACAGCAATGTTTATTGTTCCTGGATATGTTGAGAAAGATGATGATCTCCTTGAAGGTCCTGAATTTGATTCTGTTATTATCAATACTACTTTTACAGAAGCTGAAAATGAAACATTTGATGCAAAGAAAGAGTCCATCAGCAAAGAAGAAACAGAAACAGCAATGAATCTAGAAGAGGAAATTATAAATAAGCAGGAGAAACATTTTGAAATTGAAAGCAAAACAGATGTAAGGACAAATGATAAGGAAAATAAAAAATTCAAAGAAGAAAAAGAAAGAATCAACCAGGAAGAAGAAATTAAAAAGGAGAAAGAAAAAATTGAAAAGGAAAACACAGCTTTGAAGAAACAACAAGAAGAAATTGAAAAACAAGAAATAGAAAGGAAAAAACTAGAAGATAAAATTAAGAAACAAGAGGAACTTAAAAGGCAAGAAGAGGAAATTAAGAGACTAGAAGAGGAAAGAAAGAAACATGAAGAAGAAGAAAATAAGAAGCAAGAAGCAGAAGACAGGAAGAGACAAGAAGAGAATGAAATCAGAAGACAAAAAGAAGAGAAAGAAAAGAAGAAACTAAAAGAAGATGAAATAAAAAAACAGGAAGAAGAGGACAAAAAGAATCAAATAGAAGAAAAAGCAAAATGGGAGAAAAAAGAAGAAAAAGAGAGAAAACAAGAAGAAGAGAAAAAGAAAAAAGAAGAAGAAGAAAGAAGAAAGGAAGAAGAAGAAAAAAGAAAGGAAGAAGAAAAAATGAAGGCGCTTGAAAAAGAAGAAAAAAGAAAGGAAGGAGAAGAAAAAAGAAAGGAAGAGGAAAAAAGGAAGGCACTTGAAAAAGAAGAAAAACTGAAACAAGCTGAAAAAGAAAAAGCTGAAGCAAAGGCCTTAGAGGAGGAGAAAATTAGAAGAAAAGAAGAAGAAAAGAATTTGGAAGAGGAGAAAATCCAGAAAGAAAAAGAAGAAAAGAAGTTGGAAGAGGAGAAAAGAAAGATATTGGAGGAAAAGCTGAAAAAAGAAGCTGAGGAAAAGCTGAAAAAAGAAGCTAATGAAAAGGAAAAACAAGAATCGGCAAAGAAGGCAGAGAAAGAAGAGCAGGAAAGAAAAGAAAAAGAGGAAAAGGCCAAAAAGGAGTTGACAGAAAAACGTTTAAGAGAAGAATTAGAAATGAAAAAGAAGCAAGAGGAAACTGCTAAAAAAGAAGCAGAAGAAAAAAGCAGAAAAGAAGAGGTTGAAAGAAAAAAGAGGGAGAAGGAAGAACAAGAAAAGACCAGAAAAGAAGAAGAAGAAGCTAGACTAAAAGAGGAGGAAAGAAAAGAATTGGAAAAGAAGAAAAAGGAAGAGCAAAGAATACAACAAGAAAAGAAAATGGAAGAGGAGAAGGCAAAGCAGATTTTAAAAGAGAAAGAAGAAAAGCTCCAAGAAATAGAAAGACAAAAGGCTGAACAGAATAAGAAAAAAGAGGCAGAGGACAAGAAAATGAAAGAAAAAGATAGGAAAGAAGCTCAAGAAAATAAAAATAAAAAAGAACCTGGAGAGAAAATACCAACCTCTGAAAAGAAAACAAAGGCTTTAAGAAAACAGACAGTGGATCAAAAGAGAACACCTGAAAGACGTCTTGAAGAAAAAAGTGAACACAAAGATGTCAAGCAAGATTTAAGCAAGGGCTTTGATGAGTTTTCTAAATCTAATCAGGAATCTCTTGGTAACTCCCAGTCTGCAGATGTTATGAATGCCTATTGCAAAGCCCAGAAGTCTGATACTTATTCTATGAAGTCCTTTGGTACTGAGACAAAAGATTCAGGATATCATTCTTCCCAAGGAGGTCGCTTGTCCTCTAGTGAAAGGTCTAAGTTTGATTATGGACTGGAAAACCAGCATTCATCATCATATGACAGCAGAACTAGGAATATTAGTGGAGATTCTTATTATAAAGAAACTGTTGAAAAATCAATGCAAACTTCAAATAATCTAATGTCTATGGTCACTGGATCTTTAGCACCCAAACCTGAACCCTCTAGACCTAAGCCTCAGGCACAAAAAGTAGAACCTAAAAACAAAGCTTCTGAATCACGAATGAATAAGAGCAAGGCTGAGGAAAGTAAAACCACACCCCCTGGTGGCGTATCAGATATCATGATTAAAGAGGTTGGTTGCAACTGGGTCTCTCTGTGTTGGAAGAAGCCAGCTGTTACAAGGGGCTCCCCAATACTAACCTACAAGGTTGAAGCTTGGCTGTGTGGAGAGGGTGCTTTCTGGGTGGAGATTGGTCGCACACCTATTCCTCAGTATGATGTGTTTAACCTGAAACCAAACAAATGTTATCATTTTAGAGTCACAGCTCGTAATAAACAAGGCTGGGGAGACTCCATCATGACTACACATAAAGTGGATTTGAATAAACCTACACAGATGCCAAAAATCAGCTCTGAACTTGATCCAATTGTTAAAACATTTAGTGGGTCTGACCTCCGCCTTGCAGTAAGTGTAAGCGGTGAACCATCTCCTAGTATTAAGTGGATGAGGGATAATGAAGATATTAACACCCTGGAAGGGTATAATGTGTACCAGGATGAGATAGGTTGCTATGTAGAAATATCAAATATAAATTCCAGCTATGCTGGAAAGTATACTGTCACTGCTAGCAACCTTGCTGGAAGAGCATCCAAATCAATAATGGTCCAAGTTCTGAATGATGAAAATATATATCAAGCTTATTCAAAATTCAAAAGGTAAACAATTACAATGCATTGTGTTCTTAATTTTTGATTTAAAAAAAACTCTCCAAGCTGTAAATTCACAAAAAAAAACCTTGAAACCTTTTGACAAAAATCTGCAAAATTAAGGAGCCATTTAAAACCATTTGAAACTATTTAGTTGGCAGCACCTAGTAAGATCTCCACTACCTCCTTTTATGCTAAATGGACCACGGGATCGAAGAGTTCAGACAGGACTCTCAATACAGCTCACTTGCAGAGTTATTGGAAACCCTTGGCCCCATGTTCGTTGGTTCAAAGATGATGATCAAATAATACCAGATGGTAAGAATAACATTTTTTTAAAGAAAATTGCTTTTGTAGCTCTGATCATGTTATTGTTGCAGATTACACGAACGTTTACAATGAAGGAGACTTTCAGCATGTCCAAGTAGATGATATCACAATGGACCATCAGGGGAAATATAGTGTTGAAGCCTTTAATGAACATGGTATCATTACTAGTCATTTTACAGTGATAGTAGACAATGGACTGGAAAGATACATGCCACCATTTTTCACACGAGAACTGAGCGATATCTTTGTAAGAAAGGGATGTAACCTACTTCTTCATTGCAGAGTTGAATCTTTCCCCTACATCGGAGTAACTTGGTAAAACATCTTTTGCATTGATCTTGATTAGAAGTTTTATGTAATTTTGTAACGAGGCTATTAGGTTTTGGGCAGACATTATTTGTTTCATATCTAGGCATGAATCTGGGTCTAAAATAAGACTTCGAGAAACAGATTACAAGATAGTTGACGAGGATGGCAATGTTATTCTTGTAATTGCCAATATCACTGAGACTAATTCCTACAGCTGTTCAATAATTAATGAGATTGCTGAGAATTCCACCTCTTGTCTTGTTACGGTTGTTGAAGACCAGCACCATCTAACTGTTGACGAGGACCTTATTAGGTATATATACACTATATATATATATATTCACTATTAATCTCTTTTTTTCTGTCTGTTTGTATGTACAATAAGTAACCTCATTGACCGATTTGACTCAATATTTTGATTGGGGAACTCATTATAATCTGGGGAATGTTTTTTTTTATCTTAGTATAATAAACTTTTTACGGGAAAAACTTAGTTTCCAGTATTCCCAATTGCTAGTCAATTACATAAAGTAGTAAAATAGACAGGCAATATATATTAGCATGCTCACCTATAGGAATTTTTGGAGTATCAATTTATAACTTCGGATCCAGGTTTGCACTTAGCTTTCAGAAAATATGAGTTTTATTATCGTAGGTCTAGTGAAGTTGCTCATAAATACACTTTGAAAAATCGCATGAAAAACCGAGTTTGCGTGATTTTTATTGTTTTTCCTGTAAATATCATTAATTTGAAAGCAGATGTGTTTATTTTCTAACCTTATAAATAGTAAAAATGTGAGAGAAACATATTAGAGTTTGTTGCTCCAGGGTTTCCCAGATATTATAGAGCTAAACCTTAGATTTCCAGAAATCCATGGTATCCCTGATACTGTAGAAGACTGAGCCAGAAATCCAAGGTATTCCAGATATTATAAGATACCCTGGAATTTTGGTTTATCTTGGATGCCCTAAATTTCTGGGTTAGTTATATAGTGTCTGGGATACTCTGGGTTTTTGGTTTAGCTCTATAGTATCTGGGAAACCCTTCAGTTCTGGTTTAGTACTATAGTATCTGGAAAACCCTGGAGTTCTGGTTTAGTGCTATAGTATCTGGGATACCCTGGATATCCGGTTTAGTTCTGTAGTGTCTGATATACCCTGTATTTCTGGTTTACTATAATAGTATCAGGGATCCCATGAAGTTCTGGTTTAGTTTTATAGGATCTTGGATACCCTGGAGTTTAGTACTCTTATATCTTGATACACTTAATTTTTGGTTAGTTCAATAGTATCTGTGATACCTTGCAGGAGTTCTGGTTTAGTTCTTAAGTATCTGGGATACCTTGAAGTTCTGGTTTAGTTCTAAAGTATCTGGGATACCTTGAAGNTATAGTTCTGGTTTTGTACTATAGTATCTGGGATAACCTATAGTTCTGGTTTTGTTCTATAGTATCTGGGATAACCTATAGTTCTGGTTTTGTACTATAGTATCATGGGTAACCTGGATTTCTGGTTAAGTCATGAATTATTGTTTCAAACTTTGTAACTCTTTACAAAACTAGTCATGATAATTACTTTTTAAGATTAAAGAGAGACAAAGAATATACTTCGGATCTGTTTCTCTAACCTTTTTTCTTCTTCTATTCATAGGGTTAGAAAATAAACACATTTGCTTTTTAGGGAAAAAAAATTAAAAATCATCCAACCTCGATTTATTTTTCATTGGGTTTTTCAAAGTGGATTTGAAGAGCAGCTTTCCTGGTTCTTCATGTACTTTATACTATAGTAATACTAATAAGATAATTATTGACCCAAAATTTAACCAATTATTCCAGATTATCTTACCTTTAATAAGCAAGAACATTTTTAATCAGAATATTTATTTAAACAAACAAATATCCTACTGCAGTTCACGCCCCATTAAAATTCTTATTGTAAACATCATTATGGTGGCCTCAACGTAATCAATATGTTTCAAACTGACTTTTATAATGTACTAGCTGAAGGGCCCGGCGTTGCCCGTTGAAAAAAAAATTCTGATAAAAAAAAATTTTGAAAAAAAAATTATTTTTAGCCTAAAACACACCCCGGGAACCTCTGAGTGTCCACAAAAAATTTCCGCCCATTCGGTCCAGCCGTTTGGCCGGCTATTGGTGACATATATATATATTTACGAATGTCTTGTTTTATTATAAAGATAAAATATTAAATTTTTCTGTTCTATACATTTTGTACATTTTGTATCAATTCAACGACACCCCGGGTATGAATGAAAAAAGGCATTTTTGTGATTTTATAAAAAAATTTCATTCCAGGCATTCATTGACCTTCATTTCAGGCATTCATTGACCCCACGGTTTTTAAGTTGGCCTAAGAATCAGTTTGTATCAGTAGGAGAAACAGTTAGCATTGAATGTACAGTGGATGGATGCAACTCTATCTGGTTATCCAGAGAACTTATGCCGGTATCATTTTTATACTTTTATTGAAACCCCAGCTGTTTTTTTATTGAAAATGATTATGGGGACTCTAAATCGAATTTCAAGGGACCCTCCATTGATAGACTGGCATGCCTGATTCACAACGGGACCCTTAAAAGCTTTGTCTGATCAAGTATGATTTATATTTAATTTTCATTAGTAGTTTTTCTACAAAAGTAACTTTTCTTGCTTCAGAAACAAATGAATACGACAAATTATTTCAAACTTAAAGACGTCATTTAAGTCTTTTTGCACCTGTCCTGTTTCCTGGGACACCCTGTAGCTTTCAAATATCGAGAAGACAGATCGTAAGTTGATCCTCAATTGTCAAATCTAAAGAAAATGTATAGTTTGTAGAAAACTAATTAATTCTTTTTTTAGCAAAGTATTGATCCAAATGTGAAACAGCTAAATAAATCTGGAAATACATTTTCAATACAGATTCCAAACATATCACTAGAACAGTCCGGACTTTACTTTATAACTGCCAGGTAGAATAGATAGAAAAAATGCCTATGGGTCATTATGTTGAACCCACCCTCCCCCCAAAAAACCCATTAATTTCCCCTAAAAAAAAAACAAATAATACTACAGGGAGATTATCAAAAAAATATTTTCAGGTATTTTTTGCAATTACGAAACTTTCATATTTTAGACACCAAAATTTCATTTAAAATACTAATCTTAAACATCAGAGAAGTGAAATATAAACATTTAAAAAAAAACGTTTATTTCAGAAACTCCCATTGTGAGGAGAAGTACCCTGTAATTATTCGTGTCCAGTCCCATCAAGATCTGAACTCTGTAGATACCTGTGCCATAGAGAACAGGTGTTATTCTACAGTTTGACCCAGAATTTTCAAAAATGTCGCCTTAACTATTTTTCAATGGGTTTTATACTGTTAAACCTAATTCTCATGGGTAAATACAAAGCAATACAATATGCGGTAACAGTTTTAAAGAGCTCCATATAATTATTCAATTGAAAAACTAAATATCTTCCGCATTCCGTTATCAGTAGGTTTAGAAAGCGACATTTTATAAATTCTTTCGATGTCTCCGAAGTTTTGGGTTAACTGTCGAAAAACGTGTATTATTAAAGAAAAAAAGGTTTTAAATTTGGACAATTACATTCTCTTTTTCACGTTTGCGCCAAAATGTTCTATAAAAATGAAAAATTGTAATATTTAATTTTTAACTTCTATAAAACATGATTTTGTTTCAGTTTTTAGAATTACCATCAAAAGATTTCAAATTTTAGTTTTTATTTGGATATATCAGATTCATATAGTCGTAGTATAAGTTTATTCTAATTTTTGATTTAACTATTTGTTTTTTGAATGATAATAATTTTAGATTTCGTTTATGTCTCTCATTTATGTAAGGTTTTATAAAATTTACAACCCTGGTATGAGCACATCTAAAGCTTGACGCGCAAAGTTGTTTCTGAGGGTCAGCTGATGATTTTGTATTCTCAGGGGCTTAGTTGTGGTCCTTATTCCAAAAGTTGGGATATTATACTAAAATAAATGACCATTCCCTTTAAATATACTTGGTGGACGGTTGAACCAAACCAGATTAGAAACAAACGATGGAGACATCTTTTAAATATACTTAGGCATTCTATGATGTCATCATCAGTACTATATGGTTGGGAGTCGCTGGTAGTGCTGTTTATCGTATTGGATTGTTTTTAGAGCATTTTTTCTTATAAAACTTAAAAGATTTTGAAACTTTTCTAAATTTAAGTTTCCTTTTATTAAACCTATTTTAAACCTATAAAAAAGAAAGTGCAAAAACGATCCGAAAACGATCATTAGTTTTGAATCGTTTTTTTTTTGCATTTAACTTCTGTCAGTGACAAAATTGGACATAATAAAAGAAAATAAAATATTTAGAATAAACAATTTAAAATACATTTTTTTTTTATTTAACTATGCTAAATTTTGAACCTGAAATAAATATAAAGAAAAAACGAATCTGAAAGCACATCACAAGTCACTGATCAACCCATTAAATGCATATTTCTATATATTTTGAGTATACTCGTATTATAATATAGTTGCGGAGCTCCAGTATTGCAAGAATCTGGTCCTCTGTACACCAGGGATGGGGATAATGTTGTTATAAAAGCTTCTCTACTAGCTGGTCAACCTCCCTTCAATATATCCTGGAAATTCAACAATAAGGTAGAACCAACAGTTGGTGTTTATGTCTTGAGATCTGGGACCAGATTTAATAAATAGTGAGACATGGTTGAACCACGTCAGGGGCGGATACAGGATTTAAGTGAGGGGGGGGGGCAAGATTTTTTAGGAACCAAAAAATTAATAATTAGGAACAAAAAATCGTGCCGCAATTTTTTTTTGACTTAAAAGACTCAAAAAGAGTCAAAATTAATGACTAAAGACTAAAAAACTAGATTTTTAACTTTAAGGAACAAAATTAACCAGGAATTAGGAACAAAAATAAATGATTAGGACAGGAATTTAGGAACAATTAAAAGATTGTTCAGGAATTAGGAACAAAATTAAAGGATTCGGACAGGGATTTAGGAACAATAAAAAGATTGTTCAGGAATTAGGAACAAAAATAATGGATTAGGACAGGGATTTAGGAACAATAAAAAGATTGTTCAGGAATTAGGAACAAAAATATTGGATTAGGACAGGGATTTAAGTAGGGTCGGACACAGTATTAGGAACAGGAACAAGAATAGGAACATTAGCAATTTAAAAACAAAAAGAAATTACTAGTTATACTTAAATGCATCAAAATTAGGACCAACATTACAATTTTGATAAATGAGTATTGATTAAGGAACATTACTAGATATGAACAATATTATAACTTAAGTCTAGTTTCTTACAAATTTCTAAATCTAAATTTATCGTTAACAATAACATTTACTTGTTGTAGTTGATTTTTAAATTAAACTGAAGAAAAGAAAGTCAAGATTTCCATTAAATAAAAAAAGCTTGAAATTGAAAAACACATACGTTTTATAAAATTGGGAACATTTTTTGCCTCGAAATCTCAGGGAGTGGCGAATGTTCCCCCCGCCACCCCCTGTATCCGCCCCTGCACGTAGATGTGGTTCAATCACTTTTCTTCAGCTTGAATCGACGCCTGCGCACAAGAAGAGTAGTTGAGTTAAGTCTGTGTGGTTCAGCTACTTCTCGCTATTCATTAAACCTAAAGTTCAAGGTTTTTTTTTATTTTTAAGATGTTCATCGTAATTCAAAATTTATATGCTTTATGTTTGTTTTTGTTTCATCATGCAAAACCAAAAGAAATTTAAGCAATGGAAATGTATTGTATATAGTCTTAAAGAAATGTTTACATCGCAAAGCTTCAAAATTATCACTGTACTGCAGAAGCAATGTTTACATTTATAAATGTTTCTAATTCAAAGAAACCTTCATGTGAATCTATACAAGAAAGTTACAGGAAAAAAAGTTTCTGAAAAAAACCTGGAAACAAAAATGTTGGTAAAAAAGTCTCAATTTTCTAAAGACCTAGGACAAATTGTCACAGGAAAAAAGTCCTGGTTTTATATTGCTGGGATTTTTTTCCTAAAATAATAAGGTGGACTGCCAATAAATTCTCAGGATATGAGATCACAGGAATTTAAGTCCCGAAGAAAATAAATCTGAAGAAAAAAAAACCCATGAAAAAATATCTAAGTCTTAGGAAATTGAGGTCGAGTCTGAGACGTTTTCATAAAAGGACTTTTCTTCTATGCATCTGCATAGTGAATATAGCCACGGGTATTTTTAATATCAAGCCCCGTTTTTTCCAAGATTGTAAACATCCTGTGTTCCCACGCATTTTCCACTATAAGAGGACTTTATTCCGGGGACTTTTTTATATAAAATCATACTGGAACCAGAAAAAGTCCTTGAAAATTACAAAAGTCTTGAATTTCTAGGACTTTGTTTCCAGAGATTTTTTTATTTCAAGGACTTTTTTCCTACAGGACTTTTTAAGTGCGAAATATTAGGACTTTTTCCGAAAACTTTTTTCCAAGAACATTTTTGGTGGTTACACTTTCATGTGACTTTACATTTAAAGAGGGACATGCCCGATTCAGAACGGTACCCTTGAATTGAAACCTAATTTTGATCAATAATGTTGAAGATAACATCGTTTTAATGGATTGCAATTTTTTTATTCTGATGTTTTCTCCATTGTTTCTACAGCAAGAAGTGCAGAAGTTATTTTGCAAAGAAACAATTAAAAAGAAACAACATAGATATAATTCATTCTTTATCAGACAAAGCTTTTAAGGGTATTATTGGGAATCGGACATGTCTCTCTCTAAATAGAGAACCACTTAAAATTTCGCTTACAGTCCCTTTATTATATTTGTAGAATGTAGTGTGGAGTGAGCGTGTACAGGTGTACAATAAGCCTGGTTGTATTGGTGTACAACTAACCAGGGTAGGGGTAGATGATGAAGGAACATATTCATGTACAGTTTCAAACTCTCATGGTTCAGCAACCTACAGTGCTACTCTTCTAGTCGACTGTAAGTTACAGGGTTATAGTCACAAATCAATATGACGCAAAATATCAATATGACGCAAAATATGGATGTTATGATTGAAAGGGAATTAATGATAAATATGCATACGACTGGGAAAAGATATATATTTTTTTGCTTGTCATGAACAAAATATTCAATTTAATCTCCAGCTTCTAAAACTAATTAAATTGGTATTTAAAAGGGTTTGAATCCCTATATCTTTACAAACTGATTTTCAGCTTTGATTAAATTTAATCTCTTGGAATTAATTGTTTGAAATATCTAAGGTATACTTTATCCCGGGTTGCAAAGATATAGGGATTAGAAAATAAGAGTTTTAGAAGAATGATCAGTTTCTTTTCTTATTCAGATGCTGAGCATAAGGAGAGTGAGATAATGGTCGAGCTTTGTAACTGTCCTATGCTAGATACAATCACACCTCTGATGTCCTGGACCAATACTCCTATAGCCACCCCTCGGAGAACTCCTATTCCCACCCCACATGGAACACCACTCATGACTCCACGTGCCACACCCCGTTGTACACCCCGAACCACCCCTCGAGCCACACCCACCCCCAGCCTGGGAAGGCGTGGCTACGACTACAGGTCCCCATCAGTCTGTTCAAATTATTCCACTATAGAAGATTTGATTCTGCCTCCGCCGAGACGGAAGTTTGTTCAAGCTCCGGAGATATTCTCATCCTTCACCAGTAAGACTTGTGATGAGGGAAGTATGGTTGAGTTTAAATGTTTTATATCCTGTGCCCCGCTGACAACAACTACCTGGGAGAAGGATAATATGCCGGTTATCTCAGGAAGTCATATCGTCTGCACAGAGAAGACTGGGGTAAGCCAACTTATACAGAAAGCTCCAAGAAAAATGAAATTAAAGATTACAGATCTAAGCTTACCACTTATTTTCCATTTTTATTGGGATTCCCATTACTTTTGCAAATATGCGAATAGCAGAAAAATTCGGCTTAGGAAAAAGTGCGACATATCGTAAAATGTTCGTCTTGATGAGCTCTTTCAGAATCTCAAAAAAAATTACATGGGATTTTTCTTATATCCTAGAGCACACTGTGGTTACTGGTTAGGTACTTTTCCAGAGGGTATTTTCCCTAGTGACAAGTTCCCAAATGTTTAATTTCCAAAGTCTGTCCTAGCCGCAGCGCTCGGATCTCTAGCCTGTTATAGCCACAGCGCTCACCCCTCTAGTACATCCTAGCCGCAGCACTCGGATCTCTAGCCTGTTATAGCCACAGCGCTCACCCCTCTAGTACATCCTAGCCGCAGCGCTCGCCCCGCCCTCATTGCAAGAGGCCTTGCCTAACCTTTGGGAAGTTGCCGCTTGGGAAAACATTCTTGGGAAGTTGCCGCTTGGGAAAATGCCTTTTGGGAAAAACAATCAGTTCGTGGATGATTGAAAATTTGATAAAAGCAAACTTCTAGAATCATACCTTTCATATATATATACCACTGTACCTTTTATATACGTATTAAACCCAAAGATAATATATATATAGATATGCAGGCAGGTAGAAACCTCCTTCCTAAATTGCTTGTAGCAGACAAAGATAATATATATATAGATATGCAGGCAGGTAGAAACCTCCTTCCTAAATTGCCTGTAGCAGACAACTAATTTTTGAACCTCTGAGAAAATGTGCAAAAAGAGACATCTATAACAAATTGATTACTTTCTATATTCCTTTCTCCCCTTACTGCTATCTGTAGGAAATACGCATTTGTGTTATATAAACATACAGTACGCGTATTGCATCCTGTATAGTTCAAGTGTTGCTATCTGGACCTGTTTGACCAATAAAATTAAATTTCAAGGTAACACAAACATACAGTACGCGTTTTGTTTATGTTATGATCAGATCAGTTGTAATTTGTCCTAGACTCGATGTACTTTTATAGTCATAATTTTTATTTAAATTGCGTTAATTTACGTATGACATTCAGTACAACTTGCACATTTAAACTTTGTCTAGTCAAATTCCTACCTCAGTTTTATTTGCATTGATTAATTTGTTTCATTAAGTACAATATGCAGTATACATTGTTGATACTATAGTACGCATTTAGTGTTATCACGCATAAACAAAGTGATAAATGAGCAACAATCCAGAGGATAAAATGCCATGCGTACGACAGAGATGGTGCTTTTTGCACATTTTCTCAAGACCTCTAAATTTATACCTGTCTGCATATCTATATATATATTATCGTTGATTAAACCACTTAAATGTTGGCCTCTTGAAAGCCCAACAACTAAAATCTTTAAGGTAACCGCAAAAAAAGTTCTCGAAAAAAAGGTTTTCTGAAATGAAGTCCTGAATTTTGGGACTAAATGAGTCCTGTAGAAAATAAGTCCTTGAAATAAAAAGTCTCTGGAAACAAAGTCCTACCATTTTAAGACTTTATTTTCTAGGACGTTTTTTCTGGTTCCTTTACTATCCAATCCTAGATAAATTATCTATAATTTATCTAGGTATACAATGTATTTCCGCCCATAAAAAGTAAACTTCTTTGTAAGGATCTCTGACTTAAAAAGGCGGTTTAACTTCCTCGCTGGAAGATTTTTCTATATGGAAGTTCCCATGAATTATACGATACAATCATGAAGTATGGTCATTCGATAGGGAGATAGGGTAACCGCCAAAAAAGTTCTTGGGAAAAAGTCCAAATATTTCACACTGAAAAAGTCCTGTGGAAAAAAGTCTCCGAAAATAAAGTCCTATCAATCCGAGACTTTATTTTCTAGGACTTTTTTCTGGTTCCAGTCTGATTTTATACAAAAACGTCCCTGGAAAAAAGTCCTAATATAGTAGAAAACGCATGGGAACAAATGGTGTTAACAACCATGTAAAAAGGGGCAATAGATATTAAAAACACCCGGATGTCTATATTCGAAGTAAAGATGCGTAAAAAAGTATTTTTTATGAAAAAATGGAAACTTCGTACTTGACCTCATTTTCACAAGATTTAGGACTTTTTTCTTTGGTTTTTTCTTCAGATTTATTTCCTCGGGCCTTTATTTCCTGAGACCAATCCCATATTATTTTAAGAAAAAAAGTCCCAGGAATCCAAAACACAGGACTTTATTTTCAGTGAATAAAATTCGGACTTTTTTCCCAAAGTTTTGATTTCCGGGTTTTTTCCCCCGGGACTTTATTACATAGATTCATTTGACAGTACGCTCGGTCACGATCTACTGTCAAATGACCCTACTGCCATAGAGATTAACTTTTTCTTCGTTTACTAGGAATGCTATGCAACTTACTTCATGTAGTATATCGTGTACTGCATGTGAACTTCCTTTTAGAAAAATATCATCCAGCGAGGAAGTTTAACCGCCTTTTTAAATCAGAGATCCTTACAAAGAAGTTTGCTTTTGACTGGCGGAAATAAAGTGTAGGTTTGTTTGAATTTATCTAGGTTTTTATGATGACTATATCTAGGTACGTATCCTGACTGTCCATGATATTCGAGTGGAGGATGCTGGAAACTACAGAATGACGATAACAAATAAATCTGGAGTTTCAACCTGCTCAGCAGTTCTCACAGTTAAACGTAATAGACTTATTTTTTCATCATTCTTTTCCCTTCTTCCTGTACAGCTTACACAATACTTTTTATTCTTCCTTTAGATTCGTTTATTAAGAATTTATTAAGTATTAAATCTTACAACTTTATTGACTTCAAAGTTGATGGAGATATTAGGAAAGGAATTAAGTCTTTTCCACAAACTCTGATTTCTAATCCCTGTTTCATTGCGACCCAATGTCGCCGAGCTTTGACTATGAATTCTGGTCAAAAAGTCTATATATTTAAAATATCAAATGTTTACACCATCATATTGCACAGATATACGAATTAGTACATTTGAGTTTGTGACAAAAATTAAGTTCCTTTGTTCCAGATTCCAGTTTATTAAAAATAAACAAAACTGTTCAAATGTTTAATGTCTCGGTCAATTTTAAGGATACAAAGAATTGGTAGACCACATTTTAAAAAGATTGTCAATCTTGTTTTGATACACTTTATGTCATTTGTCAATTATCGGAAATCATAGACATTATTCAAGTAGTTTATCAATTTCCATGTTTATTTGCACACCCTGTATATAATCTATTTCCTAGGTAAGAAGTTGGTTCCTTCCTCTCAGTTGACCGCAACTAGATCAGCGTACAGCAGGGGGAGGTCATACAGTACATACTCTTATAATTCTGTCAGGTAAGAACATGTTCTGCATTATTGTCTTTACAATTTAATAGAAAATGAAAAAAATCGATTTTGGGCATTTTAGTTTAGTTTTTGAATTTGGATAACTTCATATTGGATGCTTTGATTTTATTTATTTTGCATTAGGGTAAAATTTTAATAATAAACTCTATTTAGAACAATTTCAACCCCATGTCCGTAGTGGTAGTAGAAGAGATTTTAAACTTTAAAATTACAGCTTCTACATATCTTGTCTTATCTTTTAAAACTTTGTCATGATATTCTGTATTTTTTATCAGTAAAAACTAAAAAAGGTTTATCTGGGATGAAAATGCATACATTTGACCTTTGTTAAAATAATTATTTTTGATTTCGTGCCACATTTAAAATTTTCAACATATTTCAGGTATTTATGATGTGTTGAAAATGAAGATTGTAAATTATTGTAACTGTTAAACCTGTTTAAATAAATTTGTTAAATTCATTTTCTTGTATTTTTTGGAAATCTTGGTGCTCCTTGACGGCTGGTTTAAATTAGTGTTCATAAAAGTGCAAACAACATCAAGATGAAAGGAATTAAAACAAACCTTTTAAACTGAAAACAAAGTAGAGGATAATGAGTTGATCTTTTATGTATAATCTTGTATCATTGAACCATCCTCCCTACCCTGAGTTCTCCAGTATTCCTCCCTACCCTGAGTTCTCCTGTACTCCTCCCTACCCTGAGTTCTCCAGTACTCCTCCCTATCCTGAGTTCTCCTGTACTCCTCCCTACCCTCTCTATCCTGAGTACTCCTGTACTCCTCTTTACCTTGAATTACCCTGTATTCCTATCCTGAGTTCTCCTGTACTCCTCTCTACCCTGAGTTCTCCTGTACTCCTATATACCCTGAGTTCTCCTGTACTCCTATCTACCCTGAGTTCTCCTGTACTCCTCCCTACCCTGAGTTCTCCTCTACTCCTTCCTACCCTGAGTTCTCCTGTACTCCTCCCTACCCTGAGTTCTCCTGTACTCCTCTCTACCCGAGTTCTCCTGTACTCCTCCCTACCCTGAGTTCTCCTGTACTCATCTCTACCCTGAGTTCTCCATAAACCTACTTCACCTTGAGATTTGTAAGTTCTATCCTTATTTATCCCAACATTTCACAGCTCAGTTCTTGTATTCATTCGAAACTAATTGTTCATTGAACATGTATAATAGGAATTTAGATTTAGTTCATGATTTGAATCATATTCTAAGATTTGTTTAAAAAGTTAGTAAATTTAAACGATTTTAAAATGAAAATTTTCAAATCTACGAAATGTTACTTCCAAAGCCCCGCCCATGATAAAGCATGCTTGTGATTGTAAAAGGCCTATAGATTAATAAACTACAAAAGCTGATGTAATCCCACAGTTTAGTAGTTTAGTAGTAAGCACAGGTTCATACAATAAACAATACACATTCAACAACATTTTGAGTGTGAACTAGTGAGGCAAGGTGGTGTAAACTGTATACGGAGTGAAAGGTTGAGTATCAGGGTATATCAGGATTTTAGTATATATCTCCAGTGTATGCTCAAGGTTGAAACTAAGCACAGATGTGAATGTGTGGTTTGTGCCCAGGTGTATATAGGACCTGGAGAACCATCTAAACCAACCCTCAATACTCTACAGAGCTCTAACATACATGGATACATTTCATTTAAACCCAATACAGCTGGACATTTAAATAAGCAACAGTGACGTAATATTTAAACATTTTCACGGAAAAATCTCTAGAAGTTTAATACCAGTTGAGGTTTAGACTTGGGGTCCAGTGCGAGAAAAAGGTCAACAACTCGACAAGTGAATAATTTAATGAATAAAGTTTCGTGAAAGGTTAAAAATTACCACTTTTACAGTGTTTCAAAGTGAAATATTGAAAAGCTAAGTGATATTTTAAAGGAACTGTAGTCTGTAGACGCTATTTCTATTGACGCTTTATTTAACAGAGGGACATGCCTGAAATACAATGGTACACTTTAAATTTTTATCTCGAGCAATAGCTTTCCATCTTTGAAAATGTTTAATTCTGTAAATTACGCTGTTTGCCTCTACTCCTGACATTTCCGCAAGTCACTTCTATAGAGAAACCTCAAATGTAAATTAGAATGTCACTTGAAATAACGTCGACAGTCTCTTTAACATTGATTAGATACACTGAACAACATTATCTAATTAGGGGTTAATTACGAGGAAATGAAGTAATTAACTATTTCAGATAATTTGTAAAAAGCATGGTTGGATAGAACACTAAAACTAGTTCAAGACCAAGGAACAAGATCTAACAAAGTTTCGTCAGCAAATTTACTTCAAGGAAAACAATCCAATTTTTATTTTATTTTTTACTAAAAAATAAACACTGTGCTACCTAAACAAGATTAGCAATTTGAATGAGAATCTAAACTCCTGAAAATATAATTTCAATGAGAATCTAAACTCCTGCAAATATAATTTCAATGAGAATCTAAACTCCTGAAAATATAATTTCAATGAGAATCTAAACTCCTGCAAATATAATTTGAATGAGAATCTAAACTCCTGCAAATACGGCAAATTGAATGTTTTATTTTATTCTATCAATGTGATTTATAGGTCTCAAGCCATCAAGCAAAAATCGATGAGAATTTTGTCAATTACATCAAAAAAAGCTAACGACATCTGCAGAAAAGCATTAGTGAGATAGAGCGGTAAAATCAAAGCCGAAGGCGTTACGCCACTTCAGAGTCGACCTTGTCTTAAAAACAGGTTGAATCTAAGTGTGCTATATCGTGTACACTGTACATGTATACTATATTGTACGTACAGTAAACCGGTTGAATTTATGTGCTATATCGTGTACACTGTACATGTATACTATACTGTACGTACAGTAAACCGGTTGAATTTATGTGCTATATCGTGTACACTGTACATGTATACTATACTGTACGTACAGTAAACCACCAATTTACCGAAATAGAATAAATTAAAATCATTGAATTCTCATCCTTTGTAGGTAGCCCTGTACGTTTAGAAATCTACGAAGGAATTAAGAGTCTTTGCCACAAATTCTGATTTTCTAATCCTTATATCTTTGCAACTCAATGACGTAAACTTTGAATATTGCATACTATGAATTCTACTAAATAAAATTGGCTGAGTTTGAAATATCAAAAGTTTACACTATCAAGTTAAAAAATACTGAGATGAAAAAATCTAAGTTTGTTGCAAAGACTCAATTCCTATTCTACACAAATTCTATAAACTTGAATTCAAAACATGTTTTAAAACTAAGTTTAATACAATCAAACAATATGTTAACCTTTAAACCGTAACTAAATGAATTAAGTATTTTTTTTATACAGGGTGAGTCAAAAAAAGTGTGATTTGCGGCGCCTGGTGCAAAATCAAAAGTTTAGAAAAACAAAAATGTGTATATAAATTGTTTCTATCGAAATCTAAAATTTTAAAAAGATTGAATCACAGAATCTTAGAAAATTTGCAAAATTGCAACTGGAAAATTTGCAATTTTCAGTTCTGGTGTAATTTTCAAGGAAAAATTGTTTTTCAATGATGTTAATTTTCAATAATGTAGATGTTTGTATTATTTCTTTAGACTTGTATTTAATGAATTAGTATACGAATATTTAAAATTTCTAACTTTCTTGCGAAAAAATGCAAAACCTATCTTCTGGTAAGATGGTTTATAATGATGACTCATGTTTGGCTAAAACCGGATAGGATAATCTGCATTTGTGGTTCCTCCCTTTCAGTAAGGAGGGGGGGGGGGGCATGCGCATCACCTCCTTCCATTTGCCCCCCCTCCACTCATTACCCACCTTTAATCACTAGATTCGTCTCTCACTCAAACACTGCTTAGATATTATTATTAGCAGGGGTGACAGAACTCGTTGTGGCCTGAAACCCCCCTGAAAACCATAAAACTGGTATAGCTACAATAAGATTCCATTGATTTCTGCTTTTATACGCTTTTATACGCTTTCGGAAATAATATAAAATACATAAAAATCATAAAAAGTAGTTAAGGGAGTGGAACTGACGTATTTTTGTGAACTTTTCCTTTAAAGAGTTACATGCTCGATTCACAACAGTACAATCGTTCACCTTTGTTTTCCGATTTGGAAATTGATCATTGCGGTTATTTATGGTATAATAATTACTTGCGGACAAATTCAGCAGAAACACAGAAAAAGATATATTGAATTGGACATGTAGAAATCTCTTTAAAAGAATAATCACTTTAAAAATGTTGTCAATCCCTTTAAGGCAATAATCTGAGGTTCTGGGAATGAATTATCGGATACCGGTCCTACCGGTAATATTTGTTGCATTGTTAGGACGGAACTAGTTTTTTTTCTCTCACTTTTCTTCAATCTGATATATTCCCATAAAAACTATGATCCTGATTGTAATTGAGATTTTATACGTTGATCTACGTCATCTAAAGAGATTTCTAACAAGAAACCACTAAATATATATTTTTTATTGCCGTCAGCAGGATTTAGGTCTAATAGGACACTCCTTAAAGGGACCGTCTACTTAAATTCAACTGACATTTCATTTAAAGAGGGGGCCGCCCTTTAACTTCTTGTCTCAGCAAAAACGATTCTTGATTAATCAATGATTAATTGATCATTGATCATTGATAATTTTTAATTGTTGTTTTCTATAAAACGACGATATCTTTCCCATCGTTGCTCAGATAAAGTTTGAAAAGGTACCGTTGTAAATCGGACATAACAATATTTTAATGGATGGTAACCTGATGGTCTTCACTCCCTTTAAAGTTGAAAGTAAAAAATGAAGAAAAGAAATAAACTAAAATTTTATCGATCGAGGAAAAGGCGATTTTCCCGAAAAGAGTAAGACAAATTACGATTTAATGTTAAATCTGGCTCAAACTTATAATTTAGAATTGTGCTCCCCGGCATGTTTCATGTTTATTTATAAAATTTATATATATATATATATATAAATATTTTGAATGCATATATAAGTATATAATTTTATATATTCTTAATTCGTGCAGTTTTCTAATTATACATACAAAAATTAACAATTGTAATTGTATCTATAGTTATAAAACCGTATAGTACAGGGTTACCCAGAAAGCATGATAATTCAGAAACGACTGTACGGAATTTTTACTGTCTGTTTCCATATATTCATAATTATCTGCAACTTGAACATGTTTCTCTCTTTGACAAATAATTAAATAAAAGACTTTGAAGGGTTTCAGATTTGTCTCATGGTTTGTGGGTAACCCTGTATAATGGGCGTAAATTGCTTGTATGCACTGCAGTGTATGCTTATATGAAGTTGAGGTGCATAGAGCATTGACCAATGCCTATATTTGATTATGCAATGCATGGGGCCTGTTTAGTGTTTAAGAGGGGTAGGCCCAAGAGGGGGGGAGGGGGAATGAACGGGTAGTTTACAATTTTTGATGTATCAAACAGGACAGTTTACACTGTATTCCATTTAAAATTGCAGATAAAAAAACCTTTTTTGAGGGTTGGAAGCGGGGTATTTTTTGTAAAGGGGGAGTGGAGGAAATTTCCATCCCCTTTTTTAGAATTTTGTTTAAGAAACAGTAAACACTGGAGGAGGGGGACAATTCTGGCTACGTTGTCCTTTGAGTTCATGTCATGCTAATTAATTGGTAAAATTCCCGAAAATTCTTAATTCGCCAGGTTTTCTAGTATCGAACTAAGCACCAATCGATTAGTCAGCATTCACGAGCCAATCCTTAGTCAGTCTTAGCAGTGTCTTGGTTTAAGACGACATTTATTCGTCTCTGTCAAATAATTGAGAAAATGCGAGAACGGAGTAAATCTCCCAGACTCCGTCATGTACATCCTCATGTACCAATACCAGGGCATCATGAACATCCAATCAACCAGGTTAAATTGAACATCAGATAGGTTTGTAGATACCTTGTAAAAAGTATAAACCGGATAGTAAAATACAACGAATGAACTTAATGACGACATTTAACAAATATTTTTTAAAGATAAACCAAATTATTTGACTGAAAAAAAATAAGTTAACAGATGCATGAATTCATGTGTGCAAGCAAAAAGATAGAATGTATTCCGTACAGTCGTCTTCGTTTTCTATTTTTAGGAAATTTTTATAAGGATTTTCAGGAACATTTTAAAACCTGAACATTTTTAGGCATTTTTAAGTTTCAAAAATTGCAAATTACATTTCTCAAAATTCATCCAGATTTAGAATAAAAATAATTTGTTAAGAAATTGTAAATTGCATTTCTTCAGTAAAAAGAATAACAAATACGGATTCTTTTCATAGTTGTATCTTTCTTACCTAAGGTAACTCATACATAAAAATTAAACTACAATGATAACAAGAAAACAATATAATCGGAAGACGACATTTTTAAAGTAATTAAATGTATCTCATGTTGTCAAAAAGCAATTAGCGTTACTAGACACTTATTGAATCACTAATTTAGTGAAATTGGTCTGTTTTACACTATCCAATTGCTGTGTCTCAGGCTCAATCGGATTTTAAAGTTATAATTTAATTTTAAAAGTTGTCTTCATATTTTAGAGTTTTCTGGTTATCATTTTAGTGGAAATTTAAACCAAAGAACTAAAATCTATTATTTCAGTGAAATAAAATCTTCAAAGAAGCTTTAAAAACCATAATTAAAATCAAAGATTCAAACAAAGGATTGTTTGATTGATCAGGCTGGCATGATGTCTGAGATTGGGAGCGTAAAACCTCATACAACAGTAACAGTTAGCACTGATCCTACACAATCCCAATCCTTAGAGATCAGGTATACTTAGTCCACTCCATACACATGATACAGTTAGCACTGATCCTACACAATCCCAATCCTTAGAGATCAGGTGTACTTAGTCCACTCCATACACAGGATACAGTTAGCACTGATCTTACACAATCCTTAGAGATCAGGTATACTTAGTATACTCCATACACAGGATATACAGTAAGCTCTGATCCTACACACTTCTTAGAGATCAGGTATACTTAGTCCACTCCATACACAGGATACAGTTAGAACTGATCCTACACAATCCCAATCCTTAGAGATCAGGTATACTTAGTACACTCCATACACAGGATACAGTAAGCTCTGATCCTACACAATCCCTAGGAATCAGGAATAAAATAAGATCCTTGAAACTAAGACATAGGAAGACGACTTTTATCTTGAAGTTGTGATGAAAAAAAATAGTTTTACCAGTGGAATACTTAAAGTAAATAAAATAGGTCCAATCACTTTGTACACAGTGTACACTGCACAATTGCATGTGTGTTTCATGTTCATTGGACTTAATTAAAAATCATAACTTGAGTCCAACAGCTGTCTTCCGATTCCACAATTTTATGGTTAGCACTGATCCTATACAATAGTTATGGATCAGATACATCAACATTAGACATAAATAAAATGTCCAAACAGCTATTTTTGACTATCTATCTATGTTTTCTTCAATTTTTGATAAAAAAAAAATTTATTTGTACTTTTATATTAAAACATTTATTATAATCTACAAATAACAAAAGTAATTAAATTTTCTTGGATTAGATCTTTTAATTTTCAATTTTTCTGAATACTTACAGAGCGTTGTAAAAGATTATTTAGCTTAAATTGTTATTTTTCAGGTTAAATATAGGATATTTCAAGACTGTTCCTGGGATAATAAAGCTGATAGAATTGGTAATTTTTATTGTATTTTTCTTTATACCAAAAAAAGTGTTTTTTTTACATTTATCTACACTTTTTTGTTTCTTTGTTATAACGTATGAAATCTCGTAAACTTTGATGAATCGTAGAAAATAGTCTTTTCTCTCTCGTTTAAACCAATTCCCTTGTATGTAGAAACCATAAAATTTGTCTCAAATACAAAAACTATAAAATAGAAATTTTATCTTTTATTTTGTTTTCTACGGAATATATTAATATTCTTAAGTATAGTTAAGCCTCCCTGCTGAGTCAGATCTATTCTAATTGTATTTCTATATCGAGATACAGGGTGTCCCAAAAAACATGGGAATTCAGTGACGAATTCGATATCGTCTTTATGAATAATTCTTTGATTTAGTATAGTGATACCTACTGAGAAAGCTGTAATCTGTAAGAATTTCGTCTGCTATGTTTACATTTTGTTTGTTTATGTTTTGACTGCAACCGGTTGTACTTAGTAAAACAAGAAAATTACAGTATACAAACAGAGTAAACTTGTTTATATTCACTGTTCATCTTGCGGAGACATTATAGACACATCTTTTCGGTCTTTTACCCTTTTCATTAAATAAACTCTAGCAGACATAATAATATTATGGCTTTTGAAATTAGGAATAACAATGATAATTCATAACAAAGACGATATCGAATTCGTCACTGAATTCCCATGTTTTTTGGGACACCCTGTATAATTCATTAATACAAAAATAAAATCTTATTTCCAGGCTTTTGGAGTGATATGTATGGCCTGTGCATCTCCTGCTAAGGGCGTTGGGTAAGAGTTTTTTCCATTTTTCATTTTTAAAAATATTCAACTGATATCTAAAATTCAATGTTTGTATTTTGTCCTTTTTTCATCATCTCATCATCCATATTCAAACTATTGAAAATTTGTTTTTTTTAAGAGAAAAGGCAATTAATTTTAAATTTTTATTAAGGAAATTAATATTTTTTAAATATTTTACATTCAAAATTGTTCCTGCTTTTAAACTTTATTATAAACAAGCAATTTTGAAACCAGAATATCTAATTTTAATTATCGTGCAACCTTTGAAGTGAAAATAAACTTCAAAAGTTAAAAAATATGTAATGTAAATAATAAACTATAACTATTAAATTCTCGTCATAAATCCTAATTATCTAATCTTCATAGCTTTTCAACCTAAAGTTGTAGACTTTTAATATTTCAAAAATGAATTATATGAGATTATCAATTATGAAAGTTTAAAATATCAAAATACAATATACATTATTAAATTGAAAAGTTATAGAAATGTGAAAATTAACGTTTTTGGTAAACGTTCAGTTCCTTATCAAACAAAGACTTTAACAAAGATAAATGTAACTAACAAAGACTAACAAAGATAAATGTAGCTAACAAAGATTAACAAAGATAAATGTAGCTAACAAAGATTAACAAAGAAAAATGAAACTAACAAAGACTAACAATGATATATGTAACTAAGAAAGACTTAAAAAAGAGAAACACGATGACTAACAAGACTAACAAAGAATAATACGATGACTTACACAGACTAACAAAAAGGAACGATGAATTACAAAGACTATCAAAGAAGAACAAATACGAACAAAAAAAGAAAAGATAACAAAATCCAACAACTCGGAGCAATGAGTTCAAGCAATGAGTTCAAGCAATGAGTTCAAGCAATGAGTTTAAGCAATGAGTTCAAGCAATGAGTTAAGCAATGAGTTTAAGCAATGAGTTCAAGCAATGAGTTTAAGCAATGAGTTCAAGCAATGAGTTTAAGCAATGAGTTCAAGCAATGAGTTTAAGCAATGAGTTCAAGCAATGAGTTTAAGCAATGAGTTTAAGCAATGAGTTTAAGCAATGAGCTTAAGCAAACGTCGGGAAATTATTTTGTTTCGGAGAATCTTAATTTTATTGCTTTGAAAGCTGCTTAACAAATGCTTGCCATTTTGTTATCTTATACTTTAATCTGATTTGGGAAAATATTAACAATTCAATTTATTAAAAACTATTTTTATCATCATTTCTTGTCTTTAGTGTGTTAACCTTTATACAAGTATTTAAACAACAAGATTTTAAAAATTATAATCTTTATATTTCAAACTAAGTAAAAGTATATTAAAAATGTAATGCATGCAAAACAATTCTAAGCTTCAAACTTTTTAAAGTTTTAAAATTGTTCCGCCAAATAGGAAAAGAAAAATCCATTAAAATATCCTGCTTCTATGCATATATCAAGGCTATAATATACATATCAATACATATCACATATAGAATTTCAATTTCAGTTGGCAGTTTCGTATCGGAGATACCCTTCTAAATACTAATGTGTAAGCGCTTATTCAATCAAACTTTCAACCAAATATATATTTGGATAAAGTAAAATCCAATATTTGATCCAAATATATATTTGGATAAAGTAAAATCCAATATTAGATCCAAATATATATTTGGATAAAGTAAAATCCAATATTAGATCCAAATATATATTTGGATAAAGTAAAATCCTTTATTTGATCCAAATATATATTTGGATAAAGTAAAATCCAATATTAGATCCAAATATATATTTGGATAAAGTAAAATCCAATGTTTAATCCAAATATATATTTGGATAAAGTTAAATCCAATTTTAGATCCAAATATATATTTCGATAAAGTTAAATCCAATATTTGATCTAAATATATATTTGGATAAAGTTAAATCCAAATATATATTTCGATAAAGTTAAATCCAATATTTGATCTAAATATATATTTGGATAAAGTTAAATCCAATATTTGATCCAAATATATATTTGGATAAAGTAAAATCCAATATTAGATCCAAATATGTATTTGGATAAAGTAAAATCCAATATTTGATCCAAATATATATTTGGATAAATAAAAATCCATATATATATTTTATATAACCTCAGCACTGAAACCTGGTGGTGGTAATATGCAATGGATAATCGTAAAAAAACAAAAATGTAAAATAATATTTGTTAGAATAGATCACTTGAAAACAGTATTTATAGCAAGTAAAAAAATCTAGTTGCTCAGATATACAGGCATTGAGAGTTTAATGAACAGGTAGTTGAACTGTTACAGCTGGTTTAACTACTATTTAAACTAAGACAGGTCAACAGGAGTAGTTAAATCAGTAGTTCAACTTTTTCTTTCTATTCATAACTTCCCATTTCTTACAATTTTTTAATAAATTTTCAGTTTTTATTAGTTAGTCTTAGTTATTTAATGTATTAAACAAATTATTAAAATTATTAGATATTAATATATTTTCTTATATTTTAGGTTTACACTGGGAGCAACCTGGGGTCTCGGACACAACCATTGGTTTCTCTTTGTGGTTGTAACATCGTTTATATGTACTCTAATATGGACCTTCTACTACCTTCTACAGATACGGGAGTTCATCAAGGTAAATCATTCAAAGGGACTCAAGCTTTTGTAACATTATAATTTAATTAGACGTGTCTTTATTCAGATCTTTTAAATTTCTAAAAACTATTTACAAATATAGAATTTTTTATTGTATTATAGTGAAATGTTTTTTACTTCGTTTTTAGAGATTTCTCTCTGATTTTTTTTTGCAAAATGGGGGAAATGTAATTATTAGCGCATTTTTCGGATATTTTTTTTCAAAAACTTTGCGTTTGGTCCATGTGGGGTGTCTAAAGTCAGTAACTTTGGGTCTAGAAACTCAATTCTGGACTCTAGAATTTAATTCAGAGGGAAATGTTTTGGAAAAAAATGCGGGGAAATAAGAGTGGGGGCGGGGGGAAGGCATTTTTCTCCTCAAGTTTGATTCCAAAAACTAGATCACAAATCAGTTCTGCATGACAAAAAATCAGAGAGAAATCCCAAGTAATAAAGTCCGAAGGACTTATTGGCCTTTTGGAGGAAAGAAAATGCTGGAAAAGGGGAGGAAATATCACGTGGATTTAACGGTTCTGTCAATATTTCAGAAAGCTGTGACTTTCGATCACAATTTGACCCAGTATACATCATTTTTTAGCCTTTTTCTGAAACATTTTTTTTGTCGGCATATACATGTTGAATGGAAAAGTAAGAATAAAAAACCTGTAAGTTTAAAGATTGTTAAACAATAGACCAAAACACGTTTGATTTCAAATAAAAGAAATCGAATGCTTCTCACTGTGGTAAGCCCGGGGTGAATGGTAAACGGAAATGGGAAATGCATCCTAGAGTCCAGAATTGAGTTTACCCAGTACCCACCCAAAGTTAATGAATTTTGACAACCGACATAAACTTTACACAAAGTTTTTGAAAAAATATCAGAAAAATGAGGTCCTCCCTTCCCACCTTTGTATGGAAATTTGGACATTCCAAGTTATTGTAAATATTGATTTATTGAAAGTATACTCTATTGAAAGCAAAGAAACAGAGTTGTTACCATACATTATAATTTTACACTCCCTAAAACTTTGCAGCCTGACGATGCAAACCTTCGAAATTTCAAACTAAAAACTATATTGTAAAAAATCTCGGTAAAATTTTCTTGAGAAATGTAAAATTCAAGTTCAAGAGATCAAACTTAAATTACTGGAATCTATCAGAATTAAAACATTTTATTTTGGTAAAATTTCTCAGATTTTTGTGAGTCCACTTGATTTATGAATTCCAAAATGCCGAAATGAATAAAACCGAATGAAATGAACGATGCCAACATTAGATATAAAAATATGATTATGCAAATTTCTTTAATCTTCTTGACATGAAATTAATCTAACTTTCTTTCATTTTACAAGAGAAAAGTTTCAATCCAGGCAAAATAGAATTTTCAAAAAAGTCTTCTAAAATATTAAATAGATACTTTGTCATATTTGGAACAATTCTAAAAAAAGATAATCTTCCATTTAAAGAAAAAACGGTTCAAATTTGAAAAGTTTAAGAGGGTTTAAAAATTTCTTATAATTCAACATTAACGTTTAAATTTGTTAGTAGAAAAAACGACAGGGAACAACATGGATAAAACAAAATTGATGAGGAAAAATAGTTGGATAGGAATAGTATTATTCGATACAAGGATAATAAGATTTACAATTTAATCAATCAATTCTCATCACTGAAAACTCCGGTATATTTGAAGTGTCGGCCCGACTTTGAGGTAGCTAGAGTTGTGTACTATAAACAAACAGCCATATTACGGTCAAACGTGACAGTGTGTACTAAAAAAATCATCCACTCCAGGGGAGATTAAGGTTCCACAAATCCCTCCCTATCTAATAATGTAAGGAAAGAAATTTAGTCTTCGCCACACGCTAAAATTTCATAGTTTAATAGTTTAGAATATTTAAGGTTTCCGACTTTGGGTTGCAAAGATATAGGGATTAGAAAACCAGCAAATACTCAATTACTTTATAATTGCATAGGAGAAATACATATTTATCAATCCATCAATTTATAATATAATGTGATAAATGTCTGTTTAGATGAAACTACCGTTTACCTTCCTGTGGGTTGAGTTTGTATTTACCTGCCTGGCCACCATCTTCTATATAATCGCCTTTATCGTCCTGTTGGCTGGGTTTGGATATTGTGCTGGAGTCAGTGACTGTGATGCAAGGATTGCTGGAGGGGTAAGTTTTTAAAGGGATCTTAAATGGTTTTTAAAGTTGTTTTATAGGTTTTGTTGAGGGGTGGGGTATTGAGGGTTAATGGCGAGCTACCCCTTTGTCGGTTGGGGTATTTTTTTAACATTGAGGGAGGGGGGGGGGAGGTTACTTAGAGTACTGGACTCTGGAGAGGTTAGATCAATTCTGAAAAAGTACGTAGGTAACATTGCGTGAAAAAATATTTCTAAAAAACATATTATTGTTTGAACATTTTTTTATCTTCATTTTTCCTGAACGGAAAAGAGTGAAGAAGGTTTCTAATAAAAAAAATATATTTCTCACACTTACTGTAAAATTCAATTCTTCCACATCATAAGGTTTGAATAGAAATATGAAACTTTGTCTTCTCTTTCTTGTTAAAAATCAATGAATTCAAAAACCTAAAATGGAAGTTTTTATTTTTCTCTTTACTGTAAATGAATAACATATTATACATATAGATTTAAAAAAGATACATCTGCTAAGAAAAAATCAGGCAAACCCCATTGGACACTGTCCCATGGGTTTACTATTAGGACTAGGAGTAGGTAAAGGAGGGTTTATATTTATACTAGAGAACTCTTCATCGAGACGGGTCAGCTTGTTCTCCTGTATAGCAGACTTTATTAGATCTATACTCTCCAGTAGATCAGTTACCTAAACATTATAAACTGGTTAAATAAACACATAAAACTCAGATTTTCGTTGCAATACCAATTCACAACTATATATCACTTTATATCTCTTAGGAGTTAAAAAGTTAAGATTCTATGATTCCATTTTTTATATAAATCCGCAGAAACCTCAGTTAAATAATATCAAATAGTAAAAAATAATATCTCACTCAATATTATACAGCAGTATTTTGAATGGAGGGTCTTTAAATTATGTTAACAATCTCTCTCTGAGGAAACAATAACATTTTGATGTAGAGGTTTAATTTAATCATATTTACTACTTACTCTGTTTATTTGAAGAATTTTAACAATAGCACTGAAACCAGCAGAATCCCCTGCAGCTTTTAACTTGTTGGATTGTTGAAAATACCAATCAAACAATTCCTCTTCCTAAACATGCTTATAGTTACTCACATCAAGATCATCCCTATATTTTGGGAACCTGAAGGTGCTTGAAGCATGACTATTCAGCAGTGTGAAATATCGATAGTTTTTGACAAAAAAGTTTAGAAAATTAGAGTTTGAGAAGATGAGTGAATTACGTGAATTTAATTTCAGTTTTAGGAGCAACAAATTAATTACCATTTTAAATCAAAATAAAATAACATTGTCACTTTGTATGAAATTAATTTTTGTCTAAAATTAAACAATTAAAACCTATAACATTAAACTCTAACTTGTACACTAAAAATCTGAATTCGATTATTTGTAAAACTGTAACAATACCGAAACTTTAGAAACTGTTTATAGAGACCTACCTTCTCAACTGCCTGGTTTAAAGACCTACCTTCTCAACTGCCTGGTTTAAAGACCTACCTTCTCAACTGCCTGGTTTATAGACCTACCTTCTCAACTGCCTGGTTTAAAGACCTACCTTCTCAACTCCCTGGTTTATAGACCTACCTTCTCAACTGCCTGGTTTATAGACCTACCTTCTCAACTGCCTGGTTTATAGACCTACCTTCTCAACTGCCTGGTTTATAGACCTACCTTCTCAACTGCCTGGTTTATAGACCTACCTTCTCAACTGTCTGGTTTATAGACCTACCTTCTCAACTGCCTGGTTTATAGACCTACCTTCTCAACTGCCTGGTTTAAAGCATGTAAAAGCAATTCTCCCGCACTGCCTTCTTTCATATCATTCAGATCCTTGAAACATAGTTTTTTATCATTAATTCTTTAACAATTGATTTATTAAAACTCTACTTCTTAAAGTTCGTTCGACAATACTTGGGACTTTACTTTGTTATTTTGATAAAAATAGCAAAAACCGTAAATTCTTTTTGTCTCCATCTATGGCAAAAAATAATTATTAAAAATTAACTCAATTATAAGTTACTTTTTAAACGACCAATACAAATGGATAATAATTATTAGAATTCAACAAAAAAACTATCTACACAACTCTGCAGCTATTCGCTTTTTCATTTGTCTGATGATATTCTCAATTGTGATTTATCGTTTTTCAATATTAAGCTGACATTTTTCATAGAAACAGTCTTCATATAGATTCTATATTTTGCATTTTGATATAATATCTGTAAATGGAACAGAAGTTGTTTTATAGATATATGGACGTCTTAATCTTAAACAAAATTTATGCTTGGGATTGAAAATTGAAAAACGTTTATGACATTTTATTTATAGTTTTTTTTTTAATATCAATCCTTGCAATATAGAACTCTTATATTACAAATATTGTATATTTATAAATCGTGTTTCCATAAGGTATACATGAATTTTTTATCTAAAAATGGAATTTTCATCATCAATTCCAATATGATGAGATAAACCATTCATCATCAAATTTTAAAAATTAATAATCAGTTTAATTTTCATCCCATTGAAATTGCAAAATTTATGTTCCCCAGGATTTTACCTGGGTTTTCATCGGGGTAAGAAATTTTTCCATTGAAACCTCATAGTCACAAGTTCTGAGATATCTGTAATAGAACATTTAGTATTCCACACTTTGCCAATACAGGAGCAATTATACACTAACAGCTGAATTATATATATGGAGGGGGGGGAAATCCGCAGAAACCTCAGNAACGTGTTTCCCTCATAAATCAAAGAAAACAAGAATGGCTTAGAACAATACACTAGCTGTATTTTCAATAATTGGATGAAGCAGTAATTTTTAACTTTCTAGAATATAAACCAAAATCATGTGAAACAGCGATAAAAGTTATAAATATATTGTTTACAATTAAACATCAATCTTAGGCGCCCAAAAATACAATGGCTATCAGAGTTGACGCATGGTCGATAAGTTTTTTTAGAAAAAAGTACCAAAAATATGTTTTCCACTAGACATACATTTTTGTATGCTTATATTCCCAACCAGGGGGGGTGGTAGTAGTTGTAGACTTTAAAGAAAAAAAAATATATATTTAACCTGATCCAACCCTGTGCTCTGTCTGAGTGCTCTACTCCAAGCTGGCGTGTTACATTAGCAAACCCTGCAAAAAGTAGATATTTCATATTTCATAGATTTTTTTCTTAATTCTTTTTAGAAAATACAAACTTTATTATATTTTTATAATTGGCTTAGGTTTTAGACCATGTAAGCTTAAAACATTTGATTACCTGGGAGGTTAGGATTCATTAAGGCTATGCATTGAACAGTTGCAGCTATATACGTGTGGGACATCTCCATCTCTTTTAGAATACAATCATTGATTGTTTCAGGGGAACTGATCTAACATAATAAGATTAGCCAGATATATGTTTTTTTTTGGATTTTTTTTTACCTGATTAGACAAAACTAGACTCTTTGCCCCTGGCGAAGACTTGACAAGTTTTAAGGAAGATAATATTCTGTGCATTTTGGCTTCGTAAAACTAGACTAAATTTGGCGGATTTTCTTCTAAAATATTGACGGATTTCGTACTTTCAGGTGTTCGGTATCTTCAACACTATCGTGTATGGAATAGGAGCATACCTAGTCTACCAAGAGTATCATGCTACACCACGAGAACTACAATAGAAGGGTTTCATTCAATTTAAATACAATATTGTGATCATCCTACATCACGTCACTTCTCTAGGGGCATTCTTCAACGTGCCATAACTTTTTCACTAAACATTAGTTTGATCTCGATGTGAAATTTGCAAAAAAAAAAATTATTTAATTTGTTAACATTTTTCTACCTGTATTCTATTAACCAATTCAAAGCTTGTTTTAATCTGAATAAAATTCTTAACCATGTTTTATGTTTCTAGTTCAATTTCAAGAGAGTCTTAAACGTGAATTTTATAATAAAATAAGAAAGGAAATGCAGGAATATTTGATGGATTTGATATCTGGAGGGTAGATAGAGGTATAGATATAAGTTTTGATGGAAAGATATAGATCCCTGGGTAAATGTGCACTATGTGTTGGATTGGATTATATATCCTTTTCCGATAATAGATAATTCCTAATCTATTATTCTTTTCTGCTTTCTGACAACCCTTTCTTTCCTTTCAATAATATTTTCCCAGGTCCTTCTATTTATTTGCAGAATCTTATTGAAATGCGGGATAAAATAAATTTCCAATTCATTTTATATTTCTCTTTGATTCTATTACAGGTGCCATTGAAACTAAATTCTAGAAAATAAAAATTTTCGGGAGAAAAGAAAACCCATTGATTAAAGAAACTGAGTTTTTTGACACGAGCTCTTATTTCTGCAAAAATACCACAACCTCTAAACAAAACTAGCGAAAACCTGAAAAAATTGCACGCTAACAGTTAGGGACACAATTCTACGCATACACAGTTAGGGACACGATTGTAGGCTAAACAGTTAGGGACACGATTGTAGGCTAAGCAGTTAGGGACACAATTGTACGCTAAACAGTTAGGGACACAATTTCATATTCTCCTTATACGACTTACTTTCATTTCCCCTTTCATTTTCCTTCTCTTCTTTCTAATCTCTTCTTTTCCCTTTATATTTTACTCTTTCCTCATTCCACACTTTCACTTCTCTATTATTTCTCTCGCTTTCTTCTTCCTTTTTCTTTTTCTGTTTTACTCTCTACTTTATTTGTTTATTTATTCTATTCATGTATTTATTTACATAACCAAAACAATTGAATGCAATGCAGTACGGTTTATGTCTGTCTATTCTCCTATTCATTTTCCTATTACAAATCTTTCATATCGCTCTTGAATGTCCTTGGCTTGTTGTGGTTGGGTGTCTTGGTATGCATGTATTGCTATATCAATTTTGAAGAGAAAAAATGGTCGCATTAATATATGTTTCGTTACAACCCGAATACAGGATCAGTACATGAATATTTAAAAATATGTCTGCACTGCATAAACTGATTTTAGGGCTTGGTCCAGATTAGAGACGAGATGATACTCTATCAAATTGAAAGGGTTATAACCATTAGGTTGCAAAGATATAGGCATTAGAAAATCAGATTTTGTGGGAAAAAATCAGTTTCTTTTAAGTTTATTATTTCTTTGAACATTCAGAAAAAAAATTTAAACAGTAGCCTTAAAAAAAACAACGAAATAATTGATGTCGTATTTTTCTTTTCGTTACTAAGTATTTTTAACGCTTTTGTAATTTATTTTTAAAATATTCCTTTCTTAGACATATATATTTTTTACTAATCAATAGTAGTAGATTTACAAATGAATACAGCAAACTATTTAAAGGATCAAAGACGATTATAAAGGATAAAAACATCTTCAACATCTTCAACATCTTCATCATCTTCAACATCTTCAACATCTTCAACATCTTCAACATCTTCAACATCTTCAACATCTTCAACATCTTCAAAATATTCAACACTATTTTCTGAGGATTTTGATTAAAATACGAATGCAAATATGTCGATAAGACAGGATGTACTTCGTTATAGTTTTACGTAAGTGTTTAAATTTAAGTGACATCAAAAACGTAGTTCCAATCCTAGAATTCTTTTGAATTCCTTCTCTTGGATTATAATTAGTAATTAAGTTGAATGCTGAATACTAAAACTTTGCAAAATTAAAATTCAAGATCTAGAAAATGAAATTGCATTTTTTAGATTACAATTTATATTAATTAAGCTGTATACAAATTATTTTTTCATATTTGTGAGGTTATCAAAGATGATTCATTTTATATTTATGACAATTTCTACATTAATAAATGTGTGAAAATGAGATATATCTATACATTCTACATATTTCTATAAACATAAGATTACTTGTCACAAAATCCGTTTTTACCATATCTTTATCTTTGCAACCTTTGTGTTCCTGTTATATTTCAAACAATGAATTCTGTACGCAGCACGGTTTAGTCAAAGTTTCAAATATCAAACAATAAATAATAAAGCTAAAAGCATGTGAGTTACTGATCCAAAATAAACAAAAGTATAATCAAGATAGTGAAGTAAAATGATAATTATTGATTCTGCAGTTTTGATGATTTTTTTTTTGAAACAAACGAACAAAAAAACACCGCCCGGCTTGTCGATTTAAAAATTTTAAAAAAGTTTTTAACGATTTTTCACCAAACATTTTGTGAATTATCAAAAAAAATGTTGAATATTTTTTTGTTAAATTATTAATGTATATATTCAGTTATTATTTCACAACCCTGAAACATTGCTCTTTTTTACTTATTCGAGGTATATATTCGAGGTCGAAAAAAATCAAATTTCTGTTATGCTTTGAAGTAACATTGGCAAAAGTATGCATTTAATAGATCTAAAGATATTAAATTTGATCAAAAAGTTGAAGAGAAAACTTCAAAATCTTGAAGGGTTTCAATCAACTTTGGGAAACAATTTTCAATTTCTAGAAATTCCAAGCAATATCTCATTTAGATCGAGTTGGAATTTAGAAACAAAGTTTTTATTAAGAATTAATATTGGATTTCTAAAACAAGAGAATTAATAAATAACTTTTATTTAAATTCTCATTTTAGTTATTTTGTATGATTATGTTAAATTCCAACACTGGAATGTGTGACTATTAGTACAATATAAATTAATCAAAACTACAATCAGATAAAAAATGTTTTGACTTTCTTTGTGATATTGGCATACATTTTTTTGTCAATGGCACTCGTTTAAAAAAAGCATGAATAAGCCGAGCTAATTAGAAAGGCGGCCGGGTAAATTTTGAATGGATATTATCTCATCTGAATCATCTTAGCAGAAATTTATATTCTTTTCGAAAAGTTTTTAATTTATATAATTTTTCATTTATATAAGAACATTTAAAATCTTTAAGTCAATCAAACTTAGAATTTGGGCAGCTTTTGCTTTTAATCCAAAAATAATTGAGCCTTTGCCACAGACTATTATTTTCTATTCCCTATATCTTAATAACCTGATGCATGGTGTAAATCTTTAATATTTCATACTCAGATTATTGAATTCGTAGTTTAAAATATATAAGGTCTGTGACATTGAGTTGCAAAGATATAGGGATAAGAAAATAAGAGTTTGTGACAAAGTCTCAATTCCCTTTTTTCCATTGACATGTAAACCTATTAAAAATATATATTTAAAATTAAAAAAAGAAAAATTAAGGATGACAAACTATGAATGATGATTATTTTTATTCATATAATTTACAAGTCGAATAAAGGTAAATTCCATGTCAGCATTAAATATTCAATATTTTTTATCTTTAAAACATGTTTTCAACTTTATACATAATCATTGAAAACCACGCACCTCTGCCCCTTTAGTAAAAGTAAATTCAACCTATAGGAAGCATAAAGTCTGACCGCGTCAACCTTGTTGCACCGGCTAGTCCTGTCCATAGAGCTAGGTACAGTACAAACTGGGACTGGAAAGGTTGACCCGGCTCGGAAATTCAAATGTACTACGGCTGCCCGTGAGACTGTTATATAACACAAAGGTAAGGTTTGTTTTTTACTTATTTACGATCAATTAATTGATTTAGGCTAATTAAGACAAATACATGCATCTGCAGCTTAATTAAATAAGGCGTGTCCATATATACACTCAGGAAAGAATTATTTTGATATTGTTTAAAAAAAACTATATATATTATATATATATTTGAAAAAATATGTATTGGTTTTTCGTTTTCACTTGTTTGAGCCCACGCCACGGATCAACCGTTCAGTCACATTTTTTTGTGGTTTATGGTCAGTAAAGGTATACAAATTTCTGTTTAAAAATTCTACTAATGTTCTTTTTAAAATTTACCATTAATATGTACTATGTAAAAAAAAAAATTGAACCAACCATGAAAAGAAAAATGCTTGGATAAGGGTGCGAAGCATCCCAGTAAATTTGAATTAAAAAAAGGTTGTTTACTAATATATACTTATCAGTTTCGTCCTGTGGTTTAACACTGATATCCCTTTATTTCTAAATGAATATAAGTAACAAAATCGCAGTTCCGAAAAACTTTTGTTTTGTTTCATGAAAGAGAAAATTGATTTTAAGAATGATTAAATTAACCACTTCAAGATCTTCAAGTTCACTGTTTCAATTTAATCAATTTAATTAAATTTATTTTAGATTTAGTAAATACTTCTCCAAATAGATTACAACTTTGATAAAGTAATCACAAAAGTCAGATTATAAAGAAAATAGATATGCATGAGCTCTAGAAATGGACCCCCCCCCCATATCTTAGATAATAAGTTTTTGGTAAACTGACGGCTCTTTGTTTAAAACCCATATAAGCCATTATTTTGCATTAAGAAACACAGTTTTTTAGATGTTTCGAAATGTGCATCATGGCGCCATGATTACCGTCCTACGCTGATTTAACAGTTTGGTCCTTTTCCACACTGTCAAATCTATGCGACATCATGACCTACCTCTTTGTGTCTTCGTATCCCTGACCTACCTCTTTGTGACCTCGTATCTCTGACCTACCTCTTTGTGTCTTCGTATCCCTGACCTACCTCTTTGTGACCTCGTATCTCTGACCTACCTCTTTGTGTCTTCGTATCCCTGACCTACCTCTTTGTGACCTCGTATCTCTGACCTACCTCTTTGTGTCTTCGTATCCCTGACCTACCTCTTTGTGACCTCGTATCTCTGACCTACCTCTTTGTGTCTTCGCTGACCTACCTCTTTGTGACCTCGTATCTCTGACCTACCTCTTTGTGACCTCGTATCTCCTCGGTTTTTATTTTTAAGTATGAGAAAAGTTACGTGAAATTTACTTTAGTTTGGCGTGCCCAGCAAGCTGTGATTTTTGATCCCAATCCATCCCGAGTCTCGGTATT